TATTTCCTACTATAAATAAGGAATATATCATATTGGGAAAACAGCAGATCCAGATGAGCAAGATTTTTTTTATTAATCTCCTTGTGCTGCGCGACTCATTTCATGATGAAATAATCTTGTCTTGATTTAGATTAACTTTCGATCTATAATGGCCAATTTTCAAAAATAATCTTTCAGTAGTCAGCACAAAATCTCATAGCCTCCTTGACTTTTGACCATATATACTTGGCAAGTGGTGGCTATCTTTCAGTGATAATTTTCCAGTGGGTAAAAACATGTCAGGCAAAAGTATGTTCTGGGGACTCTTCAGAGTTCCTGTTGTTGCAGAAAAGGTGGAATAACCAGGGAATAACTGCAGTAGCAGACCTAGAGTGAGACCATTGTATGTAACACAGATTTGGGAAGGAGGGGGAAAACACCTAACGTCCTGCCTTGGTCAGCCAGATCTGCCCACAGCTGCACTTCTTTTCAGGCAATGCAGATCTCCCCCAGTAGTTTTTGTTAGGGTCACTGCTAAAAAGTGAAAGTGTCATGTCATGATGCTAGAGACTGTCTCTTTTAAGCTCTGAAATTAAACAAAAGAGCTTATTTTCAAGACCTGGTAGTTTTATCAGGAAACAGTTTGTCAGCACGGTGTTCCTTCTGAATTCTAATTCACATGCCTCCATTCTGGTTTGAAGAAGGAATTTTGCTGCTCTTTTCAGGTCTAGCAAATTCTCCCCCTACTGATGTATATATTCTGATTTTTCAGCTGTAGAATAAGCAATAGCAGCAGGCTGCTCACTGACCTTGAAAAACAGTCTTAATGCTTTGCTGTATCTGCAAATGTTCTTTAAACAAGTCCTCATGTTTATTACATGCGTATTAATGGACCCTTAAAATTGAAACAACTTTATTTTTGTGATTGCCACTTCTTTCCTTTGTAGTGCATAACTGTTTATATACAACAGTGTGAAACGGTTCCTGTACTCCAGCAGCTGGCAGTACTCTAGATATCCCCAAGAATTCCAAAATTAAAAAAAAGAAAGGATGCTATTCATGCTGAGCTCCATGGACTTTGATGATGTTCTGTAGGAGAAGCTTGAATAACCAATTTCCATGAGTGTTAAAAGATATTGGAGAAAGCAATCAAATCTAGAAGCTCTGCATTAGAAGGCAAACATTACACCTGTCTAATTATTTCTTAGACTAGGCTTTATGATCTCAGGAAGAAATTTTACTGTAACTTTGAAAAGTGGTTTCATCATTAGCCTTGGATAGGGACTTTATTTAAACACAACCTGCATTTAAGATGACTCGTGTCACTTATGTTGCTATTATAGCTTGTAATGTCCCTAGTGCTGAGCTTTAGTCATTCTTCAAGGAGCTTTTCTTGTCACAGATTTGGAAATAAATAGAAATAAGGTTTGGAAAGAAATAGAAATAAGGTTTAGAAAAAAATATATAACTGCACATCATCTAAGTATTTCCTGGGAGGTTGGAGGCAATAGCTTTATCTCCTGGTCATTTGCTTTGCCACTAGCATTGTCTTTCTGATCTACTGCAGGAGCTTCTTTGAGAGTCCATACACATCAAGCGAATGGCCAGAAAGCAGAAGAAGAAATTATCCTTCTTGTCAGGTGGTGGTACACTCAAGTCTGTCTCTGATAACTACTGCAGCTCTGAGTCAGGTTGGGGTTTATTGGGCTGCTACGATAGAAAAAGGCTTTACCTCTGTTAGTGTTGCCCTCTCTAGGTCTGGGCTAAAGACTAGTAAAAACAGCATGGCACATGTAGAGTTAAAATGTCAAATTTCTTCTTCCCTCCAGAGTCTTCTGGATGGTGCATAGCTCAGAACAGAAAGTGACAGAAGTTGCTGGGTTGTGACAAGTTTTGGGGAAAGGGAATGAAAGAACATTCCAGGGAGAGCAGGGTATAATAGTTCATTACTTGAAGCAAATCTTTGCCATGCCAATCACCCATATAATGACTTTCAGAAGAAGTCTGGTGTCTGGGAAGCCTCAGCTATTATTTCTGCTTCACTGTTGGTAAAAAATTGCAACCAGAAGCTGCTAAGTTGCCTCCCTCAATGCCTTAAGTAGGAGATCTATGTAACAACCTTTTGCTTCTTCATCCAAAGAAAGCTGCTGGCCTTGGATTGCTTGGAAGTTTGGCAGGAAGGAATTCCTGCAGGGAACAAGTTTAAAGTTAAACCCTAATCTTGAGTTATTCCAATTTTCTCCTTTGACAGATTTTGCAATGCAAACAAGTGGTCTGATTGTATATTTGCTGGACTAATAGCCCAAGAGTGAAAATATCAAGATTTGCTCTCTCAAATGTGTTTTTCTACCATGCAGATTAATCCTTCTGATGTAAAATCCACCTAATGTCTGAAAATATAGAATACATGTTCTCATGTGCATCATAATTGACTATTATGCAAAGGCAAGCTTTGAAGGTGTTACTTGAAAACTTGATTTTAGCTGTCTTACATTGCTACTTTTTTAAATACAAGTCTGAAAGAGAGAAGAGCTTCCAGACTGCTTGACTAGGTGTTAATAGGTGAGGTGCTCTCAAGCACTGGGGACTTGTTCATGTAAACCATATTTAATATTCGTGGTATTGAATATGGTATACATTGTGCTTTTTTCTTCACATCTGGGAGGTTCTTTACCAGAGTGATTTGATGAAAAACTCCACAGATATGCTGTGCCTTATTTCGCTACTTGCTAGTCAACTGGTCATTCACCGTAGGGTTTTACAGCATTACCTTTGTGCATTAGCAGAGCACGGTAGTTACCAAATCATCTTTAATCAGTTGGATAGCAGGGGGGGGCAGGTTCTGAACTAAACATTTGATGCACCTTTGTTTTGACATATTGCCACCTGTGTCCTTGGTTTTGAATCTGTGCTTATCTGTTAACAACTAGCTGGTCCATTTGAATCAAATTTCCCAACTGCTTAATTCTGACAATTATTTCCCAGTCCTTGGGGAATAAAGAAAAAAAATGTCTAAATGTCTTTTTGTGCTGTCTGTCCCTTCAGTTTGTTATGCATAAAATTTTAGTAAAGAAAACTCAGTTAAATACGCTAATTCACCCTAACCCTTCCAAGAGAGTGTTTCATGTCAAATGGAATTAGAGATGCACCAGACTCTTAATTTGAGGTCTAGGTTTGGCACCAGGATCGTCCTTTTGTCCTCTCATGTGTGAAATTGAAGGTTCCCTGCTGGCTTAACACAGTCCTTAACAGCTGAGCACTTGGCCACAGTGCTCAAGCTGCAAGCATCTTCCTACAAATAATTCCTCCCTGTGCCTGTTAATCTGGGTAGACTATGAAGGAGGCAGCCCAGTGTGTGCCTATTGCAGAATTTTGTGCAGTTCTGCTGGAACTTAAAGAAAGAGCTGAGCTATACAATTCAGTGATTTTTTTCCCTTCGTAATGACTATCTGTATCAGAAGTCTCAGAGCATTTCCAAAAATGACTGATTTTAAAATGAGAAATAAAATAAAACTAATTCACGTAGTTATTTGTACCATAAAATTCTCCAGCTGTCAACAACAGCTGCAGCTGACTGCCTCTGTATGTAAATTTGATTTGTAACAAGCATATTATTAGCATCAGTGTGAAAGATCAATAGGTACAATTGCTTAATACTGTGATTATATCTTTAATGAATCGAGAAAGATTTTATTTATTCGCAGTAACAAAATTGTATAATGAAACATCTTTCCAGTGTGCCCGTTCCTCCCCTGAAATTTTTAGGTGATAGTTGCCAACCCTTCTCGGTTCAACCAGTTTTCTTTTCATGTGTGGTCTAAATCAAAAACCTGATTACAGCTGGGAAGGCTAATTTCTTACAGAAGAAAAGACTGTTTTCCAGCTCTGATAGATCTACACCAAAGAAATTCTTTCAAAGCATTGGTACAGCTAAATGATTTTTCCTAATACTTTTGTACTCTTGATGACATGTTCATAGACACCTATAGACCATGCTGTTCTACCTGAAACTATTTTGTACGTATCTATTCTAATAAATAATCTGTGCTCTCTCCATCTTGTTCCTTCCTACCCCAGACTTGGAAGGCACCCAACTAGACAGTAAAATCATGGATTGTAGCACGGCCACCAGGCAGAATAAACTTCAGCTTCACACACTGAGTTTCTACCTTATCACAAATACAAAACAAATACAAAACATACAGACATAAATAAAATCACTGCATCAGCCTTTTCCAGTTTCTTAAATGTGGAGCAGGATCTAAATGCCTAAAAAAAAACCCCAAGTGGTATTATAAAAGTTCTCATGACATTTCAAGACTTCATAGATACGTTTACTATATTTTGGTTTGCCTAAAAATGTGCAAGAGTCTAATGCAAGAGGTGGTGCATTAATTGTACAGCATCATATCTGATTGTATTTTGTCTGAGTACTTTTGAAATTGGCATCCTGTCCAAAAAAAATTCTGTAGTTGTAAACTAAGGTCCACAAGATTAAAAATTTATTTGGATGCCTGTCTGAATATTTGAAGAATGGGCAAAAAATAAATATGGATATTCAGAACTTAGTGTTTTCAGAAGTTCATTACCAGGTACTTTTCAGTTTTAAACATTTTGAAACTATCTAGTGATATTTAATAAAAGCAGCTGAACGTATTTATGTTTCCTGATGAAAGCAACATAAATATTACGTTCTCAAAGAAAATTTTTCCAGCTTTTAGGAATAGTGACACAGAGCTGGAAGTTATGGTTTTCCTTTCACCATGTCACTTTCAGAGACAAGTGATCCAGCAATATATAGCTTATCAGATGTAAGAGCATATGTTGAAGGGCACACAAAAATAGTCCATACAGTCTATTGCTTCATCCTAACATGCATTGTTTCCATTCAAGTTTTAACTAACAACAAAGATTAAAAAATTGCACTGCAAGGAAACACAGTGAAGGCTGTTGCATACAATGTTTTATTTATATATATAAAATTAAACATTATTATATGAAAAGTCCCTTTGTTAATTTTTGACCAATTACATCCTTTTTGTAGTTCATGAGGAGATCATTTTCTATCCTTCCATCTGCTGTCCGCTGTCTCTTACAGCATATCTGAAATGGAAGTGAAATAATTTTCTTCTGTACTTATACTAGCATTATTATTCTTCCACTGTGTGTAATTTACACAATGTATTCAATAAATATATATTGTGAGCTATTGAAAATTCTGCGATTGTACCTAGCAACATGTTTGTGAACATTGACTTTTGTGCTCTTCTTTCTAAATGTGGTGTTTGCTGCAAAGTCGAAGATTACTATATTTTTCTCAGATTATTTACATTGGAATAATAGTTGAAGAGGCCTTAGGAAAGCATAAACTACAATCTTACATAGCAATATGCAGTGCACATGGCTGAGGGAGCATCTCATTTTCTAAAACTTCTGTCATTCTAAAATACATTCATTAATTCAATGCAAATACCTAAAGTAGAAAAATACAATTAGGTCAAAGGTAAGATTTTGAGAACTTTTAATCAGGAGGAAGCCCTGGCTAAATGGCTGTTTTATTAAATACATAAAATCTAATAGTATGTGCACATTTGGGGTAAAAAGTATTTTGTGTAGCACACTTATGCAAGATGTTAATTCACTAATAATAGGATTGGCGCAATAGTAAAGTACCAGGGTTTGAGTCAAGTTTTAATAACTGTGTGAAGAAACAGGAGTCTATGACTAATTGTTAAAATGCCTTGTATTTTTGGGGAGAGTTGTTGTTTTTTTTTCAAGAGACAAATATCAGAACATCAAAACATATGAATTAACTGCTGTCATCCTTTGTCTTTGAAAATAACAGTGTAATGAGCCCACGGATGAAATCTGAACTATTGTTCTGGTTTAACTACATTAGGATATAGAATTAATTATAAAGAACGTGTTCTACTAAAGCTAATAAATGTAAATGATACTTTTATGAAGTCAGTAGTAGTATGTGAAATGCATTTTAGACTAGTGAATAAATTTCAGGAATAAAGGTTCCATGCAGGGCAGTTTCTTGAGCCTTGGAGGTCATATTTTAATCATATACATTTATAATTATTAAAATCATTAAGGTGCACATTACTTGATGTGGGTCAGTGCATACTTACCATGTGAAGTGCATTTCAATTATCACTGAATAGCCAGAATTCTAAGAATTTCCAGACTCCACTAACATGTTCTTTTCATTGCACTGTCCCTTTCTTAGGGCCACACTGAAGATAGAATTTATTTCTAAAATACTGACAGATGAATTCTCATCCTGAGAATTCAATTTTCATTCAGTTTTAAATGATTGCTTTGTTCCATTTGATGTAAGCGGTTGTCCATCTTAAACTTTGTTATAAACTTAAAATATATGTTAACTTTTGAAGACAAAAATATATTGGTCCACCTTCATGCATGTGCTATTTTAATGAATCCTCAGATTATTTTATTGGATGAAGGTGTTAGTGCAGGAACTGTATTTGCTCTTTACCCCAAAGTAGACAGGAGTGGGGGAGTAAATGTCAGGTCAGGTTTTTCATTTTCAAACTACAGCAATCCAGTGTAAGTGTGAGTTCCACTCCAAATCAAAGAAATGTTTTAGGGTTTGGAGTTTGATTTTTGGTTTTGGATTGTTTGAGGGTTTTCTTTCTTCAGTCTTCAGGAGAATTTGATCTTAGGCCAGACACAAATTAATGTCTTGTTTACTTGCACTCATTTGGATGCTTAAATCCCCAACTGGAATAAATCTTTGTTGACACGAGGCATTTTAGTCAGTCTTCAGTGCAGTGTTTCTGAGTGAAAAAACTACAGAATCCCTACCATAGACTTGCATTATTTATAAAGTGTATTAGAAGTATACGACAGAAAAATTAGGACTTCTTTTTACTTATAAGGTGTGAAATCTATGCTGTCTGATTAGTGCTTGAGATTTTTAGTTTTTAATTCTTGCTTGTAGTGCAAGTATAAATACATGAACATTACATTGTTTAAAATGAAGATGACCTGAATATTCATCATATTATTCCAGTACTTCTCTAAGTCCTTGCATTGTACAAGCCTACTTCTTGAGAGAGGAAGGAGAGGAGATCTATCATCCATGTATTCGCAAAAGAGAATTTGCCATTGAGGATCATTACTTTATTGCAGGCCACACGTTAACATTTTTGTGTGCAGTTATAATTGTGCTTTTATTGGTTTCTTTCACCATGATGACAAAAGGATATACCCATGTGTCTGAGACTGCAGAGAGCGTCATAAAAACTTGTCACTACTACATCTGAATGGAGGCTTACTCTAGTTCGGAAATGAGTAGTCTCAGGTACAAGTGTGACCGTGCTCTGGTGTGTAGTGCATGTACCTAATCCTTGTCTGAATACAGCAACCTAAATACTATCTGAAACCTTAGTGTCAACACCTTTATACAGTTATGTGAGTATCCCAGGCTGCACTTAAAACTGTCTGTGTGTGTTTGGAGCAGGTTCCTTTTTGTATTTGCTTGTCTTCTAGTGTTTTGATGTGTATGAGGTAAACACTCTTCTCTTGCTGTAATGGAAAAGAATGAAGCTTAAGATAATACTGAAGTTTTCTTTTAGAAAGTCTGTCAGCTCCTTTTTTTTTTTTTTTTATAAATACGGATGTAAGTCCAAGCACCACAATCATCAATGCTTTTATCAGCTTTTTTGTGTTCTCTGTAAGAGACTAATAATGCAGAATAATGTTTGAAGTAAGGAGTAATTTTCACTTATTACTTTTATACACATTTAATGTCTTTTTTTCATTGCTCAGTTTGCATAGCCTGAATAGTGTAATTCATAACAATAGGCTGGAATGACTAAATGATTAGCTGGCCGGCCCGCAGACTCTGAATATCTGCTATTTTTCAAATCTGTTTGTTTCTTGAGCTTTCATAAAGACATACTTTCCATTACCACACTGATGGTTTTGAAAAAGTAATTTTGAAACTATTTCTTTCTTTTCCCAAAAAAACCCTGCTTAAAATATAATGGCATTTCTATCTTCACAAACTTTTGAATTTACTTTTCATTGTACAAATTTATTTCTGTATATTAAATGCCAGTTTAGTTTTGAGGAGGCTCGCGGAGATTTTTATTTTTTTTTACTTCTTCAAGATTGCAGTGAATGTCACTGAGAAGAATCTGGCAGATGTCCACAAATGCTTTGAGTAAATTTAGTCTTCCAATTAAGTGCAGCCCTCTTAGCCCTCTTTATTCTCCTTGGAAAGCATGTTTCCTCCCTTAAAGCTCTAAAATCATTAAACTGTGCTGCAGAGGGGAATGTGAGTTACTGAGAACAACACAGTGAACATTCAGAGTCTAAAAGCTTTTCCTTCCTGTTAAAAGTTCTAAATTTTGACTCCTGTGTATTCTAAGTAATTGAAAGCTATTCTCACCTGACAGTAGGGATTGAAAGAGTTCATAGACTTAAGGCACAGGCATCTCCGTTTTGCACTGTGGGCATTAATCTATTGCTAGTTGCATAACACACAAACATCCTAGTGACAAAGATTCCATTCTCTGTGTAACAGTGCTTGCAGGAACAGGACAACACTGTTCCTACTCATGGCAATGCTTTCCAAGCTGTTAGAAATACTATCTCATTGGACTAATATCCAAGACTTGCAAAAACTTTATTTACTAGCATCTTTCACCTGGCACGCTGAGGTGGTGAGAGGCATCTTAGCACCAAAACCCCTGTTCAGTGAGAAAAGGCTAAAAGAATAATTGGACTGTCCTGAGCAAAAACCGCTTTACAGCTCTTAACACAGTTAACAAAACAGATGATACCACTGGTAAATATTTTTGGCTTAAATTTAGGTGTGTGTGAGGCAGAATTATGAAAGACACTTGTTTAATCATTTAAGTAAAAGCAGCCAAAAGGAATTAATTACACTATCAGAGTCTCTAGATTAAAGGAACTGTCTGAATAGGTAGGCTGTTCTTCTTCCTTTATCTGGTGAATTGATATTTGGGGTACTGAACATTGCTGTGTATTTTATCAATGTTACTGCTCATAGTTCCCAGTGGAAAAAAAAAATAAAAAATCAGTAAATATTTTCTACTCAAACAGACACAAAAATGTGAGGCGAAGAACATAGTAGAAAATTCCTCTCAATAAATTTTCTTGGTTTATTTGTTCCCTTCTCTTTCTAAATTTATTTGGTTCTTATTGTTTGCTGTTCTCTTTATCATTAATAGCTGGGATTCCATTTCTATTTTTTTATTTCTGCTGGGGGAACAGTTCAGCCTGTATGCCACAGAAAACCAGTAAAAATGCTCTTACAACTTTTAATATAATTAATAATTAATACAGTTCATATAACATAATTAATAATTAATCAAAATCATTCAAGTGAGATCTTTGGTTTTAACCCAAATAAGTTTCCAATTAAATAAGGAGAAAAATGCTGTTAAAACATTTATATCAATTTTGATGTGTAGTTCCATACCTCTTAAACAACCAGGTAATAATAATGCTAGTACCTTTGATTATGTGACAAATGGTCACCATTAGGTCTCTTGTTTCCTGATGCATTGAGTTCGTTACCTGTCGAGCTTGTCGCTCCATGGTGGGTATTGGGAGGCATGCAGGCAGGATTCGCCCTGCGAGTGTCGGCCTAGCAGTTTGAAACACTAAGGTTACAGTAGTTGCCTGGCAGTGCTCAGCCACTTTTTCGGACACCTTTATCATGATCAAGTCTGTTCAGTGCTTCTTTGCATCATCAGGCTTCTGGGTGATGAGTCTGGGACGCTGTCGTGGTTTAAACCCAGCCAAGACAGCCTGTCCACTCGCTCCCTCCCCCCTTCTTGCCCTCCCCTACTCTCGGAGGGACGGAGAGGAGAATCAAAAAGAATGCAACTCCCACGGGTTGAGATAAGAACAGTTTAGTAACTAAGGTATAACACAAATCACTACTGCTGCCACCAATAATAGTAATGATAAAGGAAATAACAAGGGAAGAGAATACAACACCCCATCACCAGGCGACCGATAACTCGCCCCCCCAGCCCGACCAAGCACCGCCCGATACCTCCTCCAACCCTGCAGTCCACCTCACCCTTCCGGGTAACTCCAGTTACCTCCTGGGCATGATGTGCTGTGGTATGGAATACCTCTTTGGTCAGTTTGGGTCAGGTGTCCTGTCTCTGCTTCCTCCCAGCTTCCCCTCCTCCCTGGCAGAGCATAAGGCCCACAAAGTCTTTGGCCAAACCAAAACATCGTTGTTTTTCAGCTCTGTTCCCAGCTGAAAGTCAAAACACAGCCCTGCACCAGCTACCAAGAAAGAGAAAAATGACTGCTGCTGCTGAACCCAGGACATTATCCACCCCATATTCCATACCATTCACGTCATGCTCAGATCCCACATTTTCCATATACCATCACTCTTATCTAAGTGCACTCTAATCGTAGTGCATGGGCCAGTCCCTATAAAACTGCTGAGTCCATCTGGTCCATGATGTCAGGCTCCACCTCTTGTAACAGTCTTTCAGAGCACAAGAGGCTATGTGCAGTGCTCACACACATGAATAACATGGGCAACAGTGTCCATTGCTAAGTCCATCCCTCAATCATGAGTCCATCTGTATGTTGCATCTCTGCTCTGTTGGCCTTAAGGGTCATGGGCCCACCAGGCTCAAAATAATTCACTGTCCTTCCATCTTCAATGCTTCCAAAGCACTGGAGGGGCCCAGTGGACTAGATACTTGCCCATACTGTCCCACATGCCCTGCCACTCATGACTCTCCAGTCTTGGAGAAAACCTCTTGGTCCTCCCATATTGTTGTCTAACCCCAGACAAGACCCAAACCCGACTCTGCTTAACTTTTGAGATCACACAAAATGGTGGTGGGTAAAACACACTCTGTATGTGTGCCAGCATGCTGATCCCCATCACAACCAGCAAGCAGGTCCCAAGGGTACCCAAAGGCCATCCAAAACCTTCAGAACTCTCACGCGATGCTGCTGTACTTGTCACTGGGGCTGGTGTAGCTGCTGTGCTTGCCGGCTCTCCCACCACCAACTTCTCTTTCCCTGAGTCCAGCTCTTCCTCCTCTGCCTTGCTGGGAAATGCTGCGGGGTCTCATGCGTCCTCCTGGGGCTCGGCGGGCGGCTTCCGGGGAATGCTCTCGGCCGTCGCGGGGCTGGGCTCGGACGCGGGGCTCGGCTCTTCCGCCCCCTTCTCCCGCTGCTCAGCAGCCGGCTCCTCCCGCTCCTCGACCGCCCCGACCTCCTCCACCGGCAGCTGCTCCCTGCCGGCCTCCGGCCCCGCTCCCGCCGCCGTTTGGTCCCCGGGGCGGCTCTCCCGGGCTGCTTCAGCAGCAGCCGTCGGCTCCCGGGGCCGCTCCCCCTCGGCTCCCCGCGGCCTCACGCAGACGGAGGCGAGGGCGAGGGCCAGGACGGTGAGGAGCAGCCGGACGGCCAGGGACCAGTCCACGGCCACGTCCGTCCCACCCTGCTGCTGGAGCCCGCCCGTATTACAAGTTATTGCCATAAAGTACAGTGAGACAGGAACCTTAGCCCAAGCCCCACACTTGATAAACACTAACACAGCAAATACCGGCTCTAAGTAAGTTACAACATTCTGAAGCTGTGAGATCAAGAGGAACAACTCTGAGAGCCAATAAATCAGCATTGTGACGGTCAGATCTGTCGTTATCTCAACCCCTCGTGCCCCACGTTGGGCGCCAAAAAGAACTGTCGTGGTTTAAACCCAGCCAGACAGCTTGTCACTCACTCTCCTCCCCCCCCCCTTCTTGCCCTCCCCTATTCACGGAGGGACGGAGAGGAGAATCAGAAAGAATGCAACTCCCACGGGTTGAGATAAGAACAGTTTAGTAACTAAGGTGTAACACAAATCACTACTGCTGCCACCAATAATAGTAATGATAAAGGAAATAACAAGGGAAGAGAATACAACACCCCATCACCAGGCGACCGATAACTCGCCCCCCCAGCCCGACCAAGCACCGGCCAATACCTCCTCCAACCCTGCAGTCCCTTCTAGCCCCGTCCGGGCCACTCCCAGTTACCTCCTGGGCATGACGTGCTGTGGTATGGAATACCTCTTTGGTCAGTTTGGGTCAGGTGTCCTGTCTCTGCTTCCTCCCGGCTTCCCCTCCTCCCAGGCAGAGCATGAGGCCCACAAAGTCTTTGGCCAAACCAAAACATCATTGTTTTTCAGCTCTGTTCCCAGCTGAAAGTCAAAACACAGCACTGCACCAGCTACCAAGAAAGAGAAAAATGACTGCTACTGCTGAACCCAGGACAGACGCAAATCAAGAAAAAGAGAGAACTTTCCAGCATGGCTGCAAACAGGTTTTTGATTTCTCTGCTTTGCTTTCCTTCACATCTGATAAGCCTTATTTTGATGAAAATTTAGTGAAAACTATTGGGTTACCATCATCTTACAAATCACATATGTTAGCAATATTGTCAAGTAGAAAATAACCTTAGTGAAGTACCTTTGTTCCTAGTGACCTAGTTACACGAATGCTAATTAAATTCTGCATAGTATGTATACTTGTAAAGGGAAAGTAACTTGTATTTTGGGATTCTTGATGGTCCTTTGGTCCTTCTGTCTGATCAGACAAACTGTCCAGATGTTAGCTGACACATCTGTCACCCTAGACAAAGCCTGTCATTGTTTTGCTTCTGTACTGTGTCCTTTAGCTCTACCACAATCTGGCATCAGGAGGTGAGTTCCTTTGCCCAGGCTGCAGTGTGGTGTATATTCCTGAGGTTGTGCTGAATGAACTAGACTCAGTGGACCAAAGGACTAAAACGATGACATTTAAACAGGGAAATGAGCTGGTTTAAATGCCTTTTGACAGTTTCAGTTCTTTTGTTCATTTAATCCATTATATGTTAGAGAGACAAGATGTGGAATTCCTTTCACTTATGTGTTGTCATTTTAGTCAATTTAAACTGCAGTATTTGAGCATTCTCTGGGCATGTTTGCAGTAAACATGTGGCGTTGTCAACGCAGTGTGAATGTGCCAATGCAGAGAAAGGGATGAAAGCAGAAATTATTCTTAAGTCATGAGAGGCAGTTGTGTCGCTAATTTTGTGTCTCTAATTTCTTATTCTGTATTAACTTGTTTTGATATTCAACTCTGATAGACTGGAATTATATGGAAGCTGCAAAGAAGGATAGGGGAAGATATAAAAATAATACAGTGGAAATATTTCTGCTTTGCAGTCTCACTTATATTGCTTGCAGTAGACCAGGTCTTTGTGAATTGGAATCTTCATGGTATGCAGTTTAAGACAGGAATCAAGAACACAAAAATAGTAGAAAAGAGCACAAAAAAAAAAATGTCTGCAATTTCTCTACTGCTGATTTTCTCCTCCTCTGTTGCTACTACTGCTGATGTGCAGAATTTGATGAAAATTGGTACAGTTCAGATAAGGGAGAACAGAATGGTAGAAGGCGGAATTTATTTCCAACTATAAATAGTGCATCCCTCTGCAAATTCACATCTTTATATGAAAATA